TCAGTCAGTTGAGCGTCCCACAGGTCATGATCTCACGATTCATGAGTTTAAGCCCCATGTTGGGCTCTGTGCTGACAGCTCAGAGCCTGGAGCCGGCTTTGGATTGTTTCTCCCTGTCTCTCTGCTCCTCTCCCGCTTGTGCTCTGTCTCTGTCTTTCAAAAACAAATATTAAAAAAAAAAAAAAGACTAGACATGGTCAGTTGATATTTCACCAGTTACGTTGTCTGAGGGAAACAGTAAATTTACTGTGGGGCCTGGATGGCTCAGTTGGTTAAGCATCCGATTCTTGATTATAGCTCAGGTCATGATCTCACAGTTTATGAGATTGAACCCTGTATCAGGCTCTGCATTGACAGTGTGGAGCCTGCTTGGGATTCTCTCTCTCCCTTTCTCTCTGTTCCTCCCTCTCCTTCTCTCTCAAAATAAGTAAACATTTTGTAAAAATTAATTTATTTTGATGCAAGAGCCTTATTGAGCAACCATTTTTGTGCTAGGCACTTGCGCATATGGGAGGCTCTGGCTGATTCCTGGGAGGATGCAAATTAAAACTGAAAATAAACAGAAGGAATGAAAAGAAAGCATGGAAAATTTAGTCTTTGTTTTCCCAGATTTTTTGGGGAGAAAAATCTCTAATAAACTGTCACATTGTAGGGGCGCCGGGGTGGCTCAGTCAGTTAAGCGTCTAACTTCGGCTCAGGTCATGATCACAAGGCTCGTGGGTTCGAGCCCCGCGTCGGGCTCTGTGCTGACAGCCAGCTCAGAGCCTGGAGCTTGGTTCAGATTCTGCGTCTTCCTCTCTCTCTGACCCTCCCCTGCTCACGCTGCTCTCTCTCTCTCAGAAATTAAAAAAAAAAAAAAATTAAAAAAATTATCGGAATGTATTTTTCTCCACTAGGAACAAAGGTAAAGTCAAAACGCAGAATAAACCTCCTTTCACAGAGTGGCAATTTGAAATACTCTGAAGAAGTGTGAGAACATCCCAGGAAGCAGCAGTGCAAGTGACAGAGAGACTCCATGGTAGATTCGTAAGGAAAATGATTTGTCTCCATTGAGACTGACACAGGAAAAATAACCATAATAAAACATTGTGAGAAGAGTATCTGAGAATAAATTTATAACTGACAGAAGGGTCTGAAAGCCACCCAAATGACACACTAAGAGACACAGTAGGATATTTTTTCATGGAAAAGTTTTAAGAAAAGAGTATTATCGCCTTCCAATTATGGCTTCATGTTGATTCTCCCCAAAGGCACGTGTACTTGAAACCCCTCCTGGCCCCGTAAGAAGATTCTATGGTGCTGATGAGATTGTGTGCATTAGAATCACTTCTCCTGGAAAGGAGAGACGCTAAAGGGTACTCGAATAAAATATTAAAAATTATGAAGGACATAACAAAGGCCAATCAGTCCTTTCTTTTCCCCAGACCCCATAATATGAGAACAAGGGTTATTTGATGAAATTAAAGAGTAGCAAATTAAGTGCTAATAAAATGAGATAGTCACTTATATAATTCATTACCAGGGGAGGTCACAGAGGCAAATTCTGTGGCTGGATTAAATATGGGGCTGGATAATTTTATGACCACTAATGATATTTTTAACAGTGGAGGCTGATATTGCAAGAGAAGTCATCCTGTTACATTCACCAGTAGGGGGTTTGTAGGGACCTCTGGTGAGTGGTATCTGCGAAGTTGCGAGCAGGCCTTGTGGGTTCTAACCTTTGGTGGGGAATAGTACTAAAAATTAGTTTTCAAGGTGGATGCCCTCAGGTATTCTGTTCAGGCTTCAGTCCCAACTTCTTCTGAAGCAGGTCCCATGCTTCATATCCACAAGTTCTTTTATTAGAAATAATTGGGGTGCAAAGTTCCATTATACAGGGTGAATAAGTTCCAGACATCTAGTGTACAGCAACGTGACTGTTGTTAACAAGACTTGATGGTGTGGTTGAAATCTGCCGGAGAGTAGATCTTAATTATTCTCAACACACACAAAAAGTGAAAAAACAGAAAATGGTTTGAAGTGATAGATAGGTTAGTTAGCTTGATTGTGATGATTATTTCGCAGTGTATACGTATATCAAAACATCAAGATGTATATCTTAAGCATACATAATTTTTATTTGTCAGTGATACCTCAATAAAGTGGTGGGGGGAAAAGTAAACACTAATTTTTTTTAAAGCAGTTGGGAAAGGTATTGCTCAGAATTTGGTCATTGTTGGTGCTGGGGGACTATTCTGTTTATTGAATGCCACCCATGTGCCAGGCACTTGGCTTGGAGTTTTCAAAGCCTGTGGGGAATGTGAACATTCTGACAGATCAGTGTATTCAGAATGAAGGGGTCTGCACTGACGGTACACTATAGAGCAACAATAATTGCACAGAAGCAAAAAGAGTACCTCAACCTGCATGTTTCAGAGAAGATTCACAGAGAAGCTGGCATTTGAATGGAGTCTAGGTTGGGTAGGAGTTCACTCTGTTGACAAGATAATGAAGGGCAGAAGGAGCAGACAGCATGCACAGGTACCGAGACAGAACGTGACAGGGTTGCCAGGGAACTCCCGCTAGTTTTGAAAGGCTGTACCGCAGGGGTGGAGGAGAGAGGGAAAAGAGGACTCATAGGAGGATAGAAGCAGCCTGGTGGTGAAGAATCCTGGGACTGCCCGAGACCTCTCTCCACTAGCAGTGCTTCCGTTGGTGGGAGTGGGGAGTAGAGAAGAGGCGGAGAGGGGCTTCCAGAAAGTGTCCCATGACTGATAAAGGACAGCCCCCCGACACCTTGCCCCACCAGCATAAGCTTCCCTCTTTTGGCCACTGACAACTGTCGCTTGGTGGTGAGCCTTGTACTTCACACAACTCTTGGCCTCATTGATTTTACTATCTGCCCGAAACGATCTTTACCACAAACCTAATCACCATTACTAGTTGTTGGTGTTTTTTAAATTTATTTAAAGAATCTCCCCTGTCTTTGGGTAGAGAGGGGTTCTTATAGGTCTTACAAATTAGGATGAGTCTGGCATGTCTGTCTGGTCTGGTTTCTTTGGGCTTTACCTAGAACCATCTCTGTGGGGAAGAAGAGGCAGATTTCATTTGCTTGACCTTAGACTCCCATTTTCTCTGTGATGTTGGCTCAGTAGACAAGCAGGAAAACACACAGTGTCTTTGAGGAGCAGATGGATTGAAATGTTAAAAATCTGTTTTGTTAAATAATTTCGGCTAACAAAATAATTTAATTGAAAAAAAAAAGCACCCAGGCTCTGCTTTTTATTCAGTGATATTTAAGTAAGTATATCATTATTAATCACTCAGACTTTTACTTAGAATTTCTACAACATTAATATTGATAAGAGGAATCAATTGGAAATGACAAGAGAGAATATTTTTTGTAGAAGTGTGGTCTTATCTTTGTGGTAGATGCAAATACTTTGTTATTATTATTTGTGTGGTGATGTAGTGCAGTATGCAGTCAGCGGTTTTCCCCATCACATTATAGAGCCTGGTCTACGGTAGACCCTCTGATCTGTGGGGAATATGTCCAGGACCGCCCCCAGTGGCTGCCTGAAACTGTGGACAGTATTGGACCCTACATATATACCATATTTTCCCCTATACATACACGTCTATGATAAATTTGAATTTGTATGTTAGGCACAGTAAGAGATTAACAGCAATAAGTTATAATAAAATGGAACAATTATGACAATATGCTGTCATACAAGTCACGTGAAGGTGGTCTCTCTCAGAATATTTTACTGTACTTTAGTCCCCCTAGTGATGATGTGAGATGATAAAATGCCTCTCTGATGAGAGGAAATGAGGTGAATGATGTAGGCATTGTGACCTAGCGTTAGGCTACTGTTGACCTTCTGCTACCTCAGAAGGAGGATCATTGATGTTTGGACTGCAGTTGACCACAGGTGACTGAAACTGCAGGAAGCAAAGTCACAGATAATTGGGACGCATTTTCTAAAGAAGAACCTTTCCCACTGTGTTTTTTTAAGGCTCTTCCAAAAAGAAGTTGCTAGAGGGCTATAAAAGTGAGGTTATTTATAGAAGGTAGAAGATGCTAGAGAGCTATAAAAACGAGGTTAGTTATCGAAGGTAAATGGGTGTGTGCTCAATTTACTGTAAGGTCACCTCGGTTACAGAGTGCTGGTGGACAAAAGTTCCATGTGCATCGGTACATGTGCACCGATGTTTGGTGTTAGAAACTCGGAGATAAGATCATGACTCAGAATACGGTGAGCACAGGAGACCATTTTACCACGACTCCTTGCTGAACTAAATTCAAGTTGTACAGTATAGCTGTATCCAAACGTTAGCTCTAAGGAGCTTGGCAGTGTTTTCACAAGAGCTAACATGTAGGCTGGGTTCAAAATAGAAATTACAGTTAAGAGACAGAGGGTAGGATCCAAGTAGGAAAGAGCATTTCAAAACAGAAACAATGAAGATGCCTCCCAGAATTTTGAACACCTTCTTTCTTTCTTTCCCTTTTTGAAATTTCTGTTCTAACAATGTCGTAATTTCTGATAACAGTTTGAAATATTCTCCTCTGAGGAAAGAATGGGCTATATCATATCAGCGTCTAGTGGAGATTAATCTTGTCAGTAAGTGGATAGTGATCCAGTATTTCTTTAAGCCCCAACATTAATTCACTCAGGTATTTATTAATCATTTGTTCTTCTGGACGGGACACTTACAAATAAGCCTTTGCCGTCAGAAGTGAAGCACGTGGCAGCAGTCATGTAACATTTTCCTCCATTGTTAGACATATCTGTGTAATGAATCAATACGGGTTCTTCCGGTTCCTCCTGTACTTGATTTTACACGAAGTATGCCTTTTCATGACCAGGCTTCGTTCAACAAGGCTATTGATTGGTAATTATGCAAAAAAGAAACAGAAGCTCTACAAAAGCTCTGATGCAAAATGATATATCCTTTCAAGGACTGTGTAAAAATAGGTGAATATATTTAATAAAGAAGTGTTCTTCTTTCCCCTTTAGACCTTAGCTGGATCTCCAAAATACAAGTGAATCAACCAGCAGTTCTGAGGCGTGCAGAGCAAATCCAGGCTCGCAGGACCGTGAAAAAGGAGTGGCAAGTAAGGTTTCCTCTCGAGCATTCTGTTCCTGTAGTTTACAATGCTTGGTCTCTTCCCTCAAGGCCACAATATTGAATTTTGCTCAAGATGCATCTAAACTTAAAAGATTGCAGCTGTCCATGACTTATTTTAATAATTCATATATGATGATGATGGGTTGGAGAAAGATAACACATTTATCCAAACAAGTTAAACATCTTATCACTTTTGAGTGGCAAAGCCGCAAATGAATTTGAGGCATCTTTATTCATGAGTGAATTAAATGGCGTATTACCTCAACACATTTATTCAGTCCCTTAGACATACCTTCTTTGGTTGTCTTCTATTTTAATTTTTAAACCATAACATCTAGACCTGATGTGTCTGCTGTTGAGGCCTTTAGGCATAAAAGTTGACCTTCTTTGACCACCGTGTTTACCTCACTATTAATTTTCATAAATCATTTTCCAAAATTCAAAACGTGATGTTTCATGGGGCACTTGTGATCAGCATATCCTTCAGTGGCTACTGACCAAGATGTGCTGTGCGTTGCAGGACTAAAAGGAATTCAGAGTTCATTTCTCAACTGAGGCAAAATAGTGTGATATTTTGTGAATCTTTGAGGGTGACATTTCACATTTTACCCATCTTTAGAAATATTCTAATTGAAAGATAAAAGGAAAGTCACTAGAATGAGTTACAAGCTATGAATATTGTTTCAAAAATGAAATTGGATTACACGGGTTGAGGGGGGGGAACAGCAAAGAAATTAGAGACTCTTTTTTAAATGTCTCAGATCCCAAGAGTGGAGGTAAAAATATCAGTTAGAGATCCTCTTTTTCCCAAGTTCTCTTGCTGATAACGGTAGCCATCAAGGGTCCCGGTAGATAAGATGGAGAGGTCTGATGTGGGGAGGCTTCCTCTATTAGGGATTTCACTTTGGGATAGCTATGGAAGGAAAAATCATTTTAAGACCACTCTGTACCCCTCTTTTATTTTGTTCTATGCAGCGTTCATCTTGTTGGTCACTCTTGAGCAGTGTTTACATCACATATGAGAATGACATGCCTGAGAACAGTGTAGATGTCAGATTTTAGCACAAATGTTTGTCTAGTGATTTCCTGCTAACCTACTGGGTTGTTGATTTTTTTTTTTTTTTTTTTTATCTTGTTTTTACTTTTCTTAAACCAGGCTGCTTGGCTCCTGAAAGCTGTTACCTTTATAGACCTTACTACACTCTCAGGCGATGACACATCTTCCAATGTTCAAAGGCTCTGTTATAAAGCCAAGTATCCAATCCGGGAAGACCTCTTAAAAACTTTAAATGTGCATGATAAAGGTAATGTTGTTGTGTATAATCTGTCTGTGTTTACCGCTTTATAATACTAATTACAAAATCTAAGAGGACTTATGACAAGATTCAGCTGCTAAAATGATAATAGATAGCAGTAAAATCCACGGGTAGATTTGTGTACCTAACAAATAATTGAGATTCATCTGTAAAAAACAGCAGGGAGAGAATCTGAGTCTCTTTTTTAGGTCAGTTCTTTCCATCATGGATTAAAGTTGCTGGTAGAGAGTTTCTTTATTTTTCTTTCCACTTCTTCAGTGTGGGAAATTTTCTATCTAGTGACTCTAAAATACTGATTCTCATTCCCTAGCCACATGTGCATAAGCCAGTCTCATTACTTAATAATCACATCTCATACATAAAGTATTTTCTGTGAGTAAATGAAATACTTTTGAGAATAAAATGCAAATGGGGAATATTGCACGCTCGTATATTAGGTTAGATCTTTTGAAAAAGTTATATTCACTCTCTTAGTATGCATGAAAGAAAGGACTTTCTAAAGTTGCCATAAGTTTAGAATCTTAACATTTTAGGAATGGAGGAGACCGTTGAGAGTTGATCCCCTATATCTAAGTGAGGAAACCGAGATCAGGAAGGCAAAATGGCATTTCCAAGGTGATGTATCGGGTCACTCACTGTGCTGGCTTTAGGAGCCACATCTTTCCATGGAGAGATGCTTCATGCTTCCCAAGTGCCTGTCAGTAATGAAGGCAGCTAGAGATGTTGTAGTCCAGTGCTGGTATTTTATCCCAGGTAATCTGTAGATAAATTATAGCCTAAATAACTCCACAGCTTTTGAAAAATATTTTTTATGTTTCTTTTGAGTTGACAATAAAAACACCACCTATTTGTAGGTGTTGTTATACAGAGTTATTAAAAGCACCAACCTTGAGGGAGGGGCTGGAAAAAAGCAACAACTTCATATGAGTCTTATGCTCTTGTTTTGTTTTATATTGGCTATTTGATTTTATTTGATTTTTTTAAATTTTAAGAGCTTATTCTTCCAAATGAGGACTCCAGATTCAGATTTTATTATTTCTTGCAACGGAGGGAATAGGATCAATTAAATGTCATTTTTGCAATACTACCTTGAAAGATTTACGTCCATTTTTTTTTATCCACTGTCTGTTTGCTATAGAAATCTGGATTTTGTTATCTACTGAAATAAAATACTGTCATTGAGTCAAGACCATTAAGTTTACTGTGTAGGAATTTTTATTTTTTTATTTAAAAAAATTTTTTTAATGTTTTTGTTTATTTCTGAAAGAGAGAGAGAGAGAGGCAGTGTAAGCAGGGGAGGGTCATAGAGAGAGGGAATCACAGAATCTGAAGCAGCCTCCAGGTTCTGAGCTAGCTGTCAGCACAGAGCCCGACACGGGGCTCGAACCCACGAACCATGAGATCATGACCTGAGCCGAAGTCGGACGCTTAACCGACTGAGCCACCCAGGCACCCCTGTTTAGGAACTTTTAAAAAGTGGTATTATATTAACCTCAAAGAGCAGTACGTCATGATTATTTTATTCTGTGGCTTTTACGGTAAAAAAAAATGACCCATATTGTCAAGACCTGGAAGGGAAATGTGGGGAGTCAGAACTTTTTCTTTTTTTGTTACTTGTTTATTCTCGGGAGGGGGGGATGAATGGGGCAAGGGCAGAGAGAGAGGAAGACACCGAATCTGAAGCAGGCTCCAGGCTCTGAGCTGTCAGCACAGAGCCCGACGCGGGCTCGAACCCACAAACCATGAGATCATGGCCTGAGCCAAAGTCGGATGCTTAATCAACTGAGCCATCCAGGCGCCCCTAAAACTTTTTCATTCAGTGCAGCATCATGGGTGAATTACTCTTCCTGCCATTTTGATTTCTGCCAGTGTGGTGTTATAAATAATAATTAAAAGCATATTGTGCAAATTGAACTTCCTCTAAAGTAGGCTGTTATGTTTTCTTTCTTCGTAGGTATTACTACAGCCGCCGTTTGTGTTTATCCTGCACGAGTGTGTGACGCTGTGAAAGCACTGCAGGCAGCGGGCTGTGCCATCCCAGTGGCTTCGGGTAAAATGGTTTTGGCTGTTGCTATTGTCTCTCAGTCTGTTTCCAGTTCTTCAACTCAGATACCTGGAGGCTTTCCATATAGTTTTATTATGATGATTTAATTAGTTTTATCTATTGAGCTATTTGTATTTACTCATTCTCTCAGTATCTAATTGTCTACTAAGTAGCTGACCGTGTGACTTCCCAAGAATACAGAAGTGTTTTCCCTGTCCTTAAGGAAACTCAGTTGTTGAGGAGGAATAGTCAAGTTTAAAACGTCATCATGCAGGATATGTAGTATTATATGTATGCAAAATATGATAATAAAGGTACGCAGAAGTTACACTTGTAACTCTGAGCAGGGAGTGATTTATTTTGCAGAGGTTGGTGACAGAGAGTAAGGGAGTTCTTCATCGAGGAGCTAATAGCTGTGTAGGGTCTTAAAGGGTACGGAGTTGCTGGCAGTGTGGGTGAGTTAGCGAATGATTTTAGACAGAGGAACTAGCGTGTGTGAAGGCAAAGGAGCACATTTGGGGAACTGTACGTAGCTTGCAATTTTGGGGTCTAAATTGGGACACGGGGGCAAGTGGCTCTGGGAGTTGAAGCTGGAGAGGTAGATCAGGGCCAGATCACATAGGGAGAAGACGCTTGGCAGCGGCATCTGGGCTTTATTCTGGTGATGGGGAAGGTACTGCAAGGTTCTGAGCAGATTCATGTCATGATCGGTTTCATGATATAGTGGGTCAGGGGATGGTAGTGGACACATTCAGGAGGGGTGATGGGGACTTAGGGGGACTTATCACAGTCCATGTGGGAGATGAAGAGAACCACCTCAAAGCCTGGGAGATAAAGTAGAGAGGGTATGTTTGGGAGTTATTGGCTTAAGATAGACTCAGTAGGACTTGGCATGAAGGAAAGAAGAGTCTTAAAAGCTTCTGTGTAGGTGAGTGTGTGTGAGTATATGGGTGGATGGATATAAAATTAGGTTGTACTTTTAGAAGATGTTAAGAGGAATATTCTGGGGCTTTGAAAAAGGAGTCTAAAAAGATGATTAATTTATTTTATTAGGGACACATCGAAAGAAACATAGTATACAGTATTGATATACCTACAGTATTTGGCAGCTACCTTAATTTTTCATCAGCCTCCGTCATTTCAGCTTTTCTTTTATACCATAGGGAAGCACGCTCTCCTATAAGATAGCAGGCCCAAGGAATTCAGTAACATGGAAATACAAAAGGTTATCGTTAGGCATGGAAATGGAATTAATGATGCACGTGTAAGACATATTATAGGTTTTCAGAAGTGTAGCCATATTTTCATTTTTTAAAATTTGTACTTGGTCTTGTTCTTCACAACTCACCCCTGTCCCAATTTTGTGGACAAATTAGGTGCTCTTTCCTCCTGAATTCTCTTCCTTTATTCTCATGTGCTTGGCTATTCATTTTAAGATACGCAGTGGGAAGAACCTGTACTACAATTTGGTTATAACAGCTGTAAATGTGAGTGAGTAAATCAAGAATACAGTGATAGTCAACTTGATTAGGAGTTGGATCCATAGTTATCCAGTGTCCATCAAGACAGGGCTGTAACTACTGTTTCATGACTGTTGCTGTGATGATAACGTCTTTTCTTAGTATCTGTTTACTTAAAGGGCATCGTGAGCATCACTGCAGCAACTTCATTTCAGGTTTTCCAAACGATGCAATACTAATATTTATCCTAACACAAACACCATATGAGATGACCTTCTTTTTCTTCACACTTCACTTTGCAAGAAGAGTGTGAAGCTCTTTAGTGTCATTAATGGTTTAGTCTAAATGCTAGTTCTTGTTTTTTGTATCAAATTCCTTGTTGAGATACCAACTAAAATTTGTCTTCTTTCCTCCCTCCCTTCCTTTTTTTCTCTCTCCTTACTAGTGGCCACTGGCTTTCCAGCTGGACAGACCCATTTAAAGACACGATTGGAAGAGATCAGATTGGCTGTGGAAGATGGAGCTATGGAAATCGATGTGGTAATTAACAGGACCTTGGTGCTGACAGGCCAGTGGGAAGGTATGTGCCAGTCCTTCCGTAAGAGGGAGGCCTCGTTCTTGCGTAGTGAATGAAATGAAGAGGACTGGAAAAGAGGCAGCATGTTTTGGAAGTCATGGTTCTAGATTACAAGTCACTAGATCAGAGGCTGGATTGCTCATCCTTGTTCCCCTCACAAATCCTAGACAGTTGCCCACCTATGTGAACTTTTTAGATCCCTTTGAGTGCTTAGGTGAGTGGTTATTTCTGTGCAGTAGACTATTCACTTTTATTCTTTCCTCTAATATTTTATTACTCAATATGGAAATCATTCTAGGCAAGTCACTTATGCTGAGTTTGTTTTAATGTGTGGAGGAAACTTCCCTTTTATGTTTATTAGTTTTGAGAGAAAGAGACAGAGTGTGAGTTGGGAAGGGGCAGAGAGAGAGAGGCAGACACAGAACCCAAAGCAGGCTCAGGCTCTGAGCTGTCTGCACAGAGCCTGATGTGGGGCTCGAACCCAGGAACTGTGAGATCATGAAATGAGCTGAAGTCAGACGCTTAACCGACTGAGCCACCCAGGCGCCCCAGCAGTAGGATTATATTTAATATATTTTTTCTTAACCTACTTATTGGACTTGCCAGGATTTCATGGATATCCGTGAGTCTTTAAAAAAAATTTTTTAATGTTTATTTATTTTGGGGAGAGAGACAGAGTGTGAGCAGGGGAGGGGCAGAGAGAGAAGGAGACAGAGAATCTGAAGCAGGCTCCAAGCTATGAGCTGTCAGCATAGAGCCTGACATGGGGCTCGAACTCACGAACCATGAGATCAGGACCTGAGCCTAAGTTGGAAACTTAACCAACTGAGCCACCCAGGCCCCCCTCTTTCTGTGAGTCTTATCCATCAGTCCATCTAGCTTAACATCTGTAAATCCTTTTGTTTTTTAATGTTTATTTATTTTTGAGACAGAGCACAAGGCAGAGGAAAGGTCAGAGAGAGAAGGAGACAGAGAATCTGAAGCAGGCTCCAGGCTCTGAGCTGTCAGCACATAGCCCTATGCAGGGCTCGAACCCACAAACCATGAGATCATGACGTGAGCCAAAGTCAGACACTTAACCACTCAGGCGCCCCTAACATCTGTAAATCCTAATTCCATTGTTTATCCATTAAGAATTGCTTTTGGTTATAGAGTGGCAAAGATTCAGTCGGTAGTTACACAAGGTCTAGAGGTAGGTATTTTAGGGGTTTTGTGGCAGCCCCACAAAGTTCTTGGTGACCTACGTTACTTTTACCTTCTGTTTCCAAAGTGTATGGCTTCTGCTCTCGTAATTAAGGGCACGCTGCTGTCTAAGATGGCTTCTGAAGCTCCTGTCTTTCCACTCGTCTCCTAGATAGTAGGAAAGAAAGGCTGTCCTATCCTCAAAATCTCACACAACTTTTTTGCTTACACCTCCTTGGCTCAAACTTAGTTAATGGCCATCTTGGCTGCAAGTGAGGCTGGAAAAATATAGTCTTTTAGCTTAGAATATTAACATCCCCAGTAAGTTAGATGGTGTACATTTCTGTGCTCAGAAAGGACTGAGGGAGGTTCTGGCAGAGAAGGACAGTGTGCCCTGTGGAGCTAAACAGGGTCTGACAGTAAAAAGCTTAAAAGCAAAGGGCCAGGTGAAATAACAGTGACACAGATATACATGAAATAAAATGACACGGAATAAAAAGATACATGAAGTCAAAAGGCACAGTACTGTTAGCTGTGGGGCAGGTCATCTCAGAGATTTTAGCAGCTCTGAGAGCATCATTGATGACGCAGTCACTGATACCACAGTTCTGAATGATCTAGAAAATGTGTTAAAGCCATTCCTCTTGCCCCATACTCCCAACTATACTTCATCAACATTTTTAATCCTTTTCGGGTTTAAATTCCTGACAGTTCACAAATGTCTTTTTGTGCTTTTGATTTTTGTTCCTTTTCTTTTAAAAAACTTTTTTTTTTTAATGTTTATTTATTTTTAAGAGTGAGAGAGACAGAGTGTGAGTAGGGAAGGGGCAGAGAGACTGGGAGACACTAAATCCAAAGCAGGCTCTAGGCTCTGAGCTGTCAGCACAGGTCCCGACACAGGGCTCGAACCCATGAACCACAGATCACGACCTGAGCCAAAGTTGGACACTTAACTGACTAAGCCACCCAGGTTTTTTTTGTTTTTTTGTTTTGTTTTTTGTCTTTTTTTGAGAGAAAATACACGTGCATGTAAGCAGGAAAGGGGCAGAAAAAGGGAAGGAGAGAATCCCAAGTAGGCTCTGTGCTGTTAGCATGGAGCCCAATGTAGGGCTTAATCTCATGAATTGTGGAAAGGTGAGATCATGACCTGAGCTGAAATCAGGAGTCTGATGCTTAACCAGCTGAGCCACCTAGGCATCCCTATAATCATTCTTTTTAAAAGTTTTTTTTAAAAATTTATTTCTTAGAGAGAGAGACAGCATGAGCAGGGGAGGGTCAGAGAGAGAGGGAGACACAGAACCCGAAACAGGCTCCAGGCTCTGAGCTAGCTGTCAGCACAGAGCCCAATGCGGGACTCGAACCCACGAACCATGAGATCATGACCTGAGCCAAAGTCGGATGCTTAACCGACTGAACACCCAGGCGCCCCTATAATCATTCTTAAGAGGCTTATTTTAAATAGATGTCTCTTGTCCCTATATATTAATTCTTGTTTCCTTCGAGTCATAGATTTCAGTTAAGATTTCAGGCCAGAGGAAGAGGAAAAAAATGAATAAGTATAATATGTAAAACAAATTTGGAAATAAACTATGTGATTTAGTTAGATAATAAAAACCTATATGTCCTTTATATCTTTTATTAAACAGTTGTAGACATAGAAGTATGGTTTCTATTATAACTTGTGCTCTTGTCTCTAGAATACTAATTAGGAAATAACATAATAATAGGAGATGAGTTTTGATGTAATTGTCCCTTAATGAACTAGGAATGGTTGTTTTTAGGAACTGATAATTTCCTAATAACAGGCATTCATGCAAAATGTAATAACACGTCTTTGTCCTGGACCATACTTTTCTATTAACTTCTTCATGATGTTAATAACCTCTTGACCCAAAACAAATTGAAAAGGAACGTTTAATACTGGAAATTTAATTCTAAATAGAAACCTGCAATGACTGAGGCCTTTTATCACTAGAGTATTTTGTCTTAATTTGCCTCACTTTGATTACATATTGTATTTTTCAGTGTCATGCTTTAATATTAGCTGTTTACTAAAATATGAGCCTACAATTGATTTCTTGGAACTTGCTGATGGAAATGTCTGTCACGCTATTACACGGTCAAGCCCAGGTCCCTCTCCTCTCTGTGCACTGAGGTGTGTAGGACTCTGGTTGAAACACGAAAGAGTCCCATTTTTAAATTGGCCATGTAGACCGTAGCCTAATCACTTCTCATGGTCACAGGGTCCACAGTTGCAGGTGTGAACACAAAGAGGAGACCGGGGGGGGCGGGGGGGAGGCCTGTATTCCTCTTCTTGAATTCTCCTTGGTGACCATTTAAAGTCTCTGTTCTCCTCAAGCTGCTGATTCTTCTGCCTGTGTTGAGGCTCCTTCACTCTCAGCAGAAGCCCTACCTGCTACTTCCTAGAGAAAACAGAAATAGAAACTAGAGACACCAGTAGACAGGGGCTCCCTCCAGGTCCTCGTATCAGGTCTGCTTTCCTTGGCTCCTCCTCTTCCTCCCTCCTAAGTCCAGTCCCTCCTCTGTTCAGTGGCTCTTCATCTCCCACGTTTTCAGAGGCCTTACTCCATTTGTTGGCCATTTTTTTCTCCTGTATCTTTCATCTCTTTTGACTCATTCCCATCAGTACCTAAACATATGTAAGCTTTTCTTATCTATTAAAAAAAAGCTTACGTGTGGGCACTGGGTGCCTCAGTCAGTTAAGCGGCTGACTTCGGCTCAGGTCATGGTCCCACAGCTCTTGGGTTCGAGCCCCGTGTGGGGCTCTGTGCTGACTGCCAGCTCAGAGCCTGGAGCCTGCTTTGGATTCTGTGTCTCCCTCTCTCTCTGACCCTCCCCTGCTCACGCTGTCTCTCTCTCTCTCTCCTAGAAATAAATAAAACATTAAAAAAAAAAATTAAAAAAAAAAAAGCTCACGTGCCAGCCCTCCCCCTCATCCCCAGCTACGTCTCCCTTTCTGTTTTTCCCTTCGTGGCTACAGTTCTCAAGAGTCCTATTTACTTGTTTCCCTTGAAACAAGCATCATCAAGATGCTATTGCCCTCTTATCTTCCAATGCCCAGGGAGTATTCCACAGTTGTTTGCTTAGCTCTACCATTCAGCTAAACGAACTGCATTTGATGCAGTGCATGGTCCTTCTGGAAACACTCTTTTTGTCTGGCTCTGGGGATCCTGCATTCTTCAGGCTTTCCTTCAAGTTTCTCATGACTCCTGTGTCCCTGTGTCTTGTATGCAAGGTCTTCTCCTTCCTCCGTCATCCCTGAAGTGCTGGCGGTCTTCAGGTTGGCTCCCAGCAAGTTCTCAAACTTCTCCTCACACTCTGCATACTCTGCCCCCAAAACCTCCTGTCCTCGCTGACTTCAGCCACGCTCCATGTGCTGAAGACCACAAAGCCTCCCCAGCACCAGAACCTACATCAGCTTACTCCAGAACTCATGCCTGGTTTCCCCACTAAACCACGTTGCTTTTCATGCACCATTTTTACCTAAGTACAATGGTTGAATCTTGATCAGATCGGAGAATCTAGCCATTTTAGAAAGAAATCCATGAAAAAGGACTTGACGTGAACACCTTCTCTTAAATACAGTTTAGTTTGCGAACTGTGGTGTCAGTGACTGCGCCGTTCTGGAGCAGAGCGACGTTCCCCGGCGGCTGAACCCCCTAAGGTGTTCCCCCCACAGCTAACAGTTCAGACTCTCGTGCCTTTGGATGTCAAATGTCTTTTTATTTAAAAATTTTTGTTCTTGGAGCCCCTGGGTGGCTCACTCGGTTAAGCGTCTGACTTTAGCTCAGGTCATGATC